CGAGAGGAGAATGGAGGAGAAGGGATTGCGGCGTGACCATCCCCCCTGGGGGGTGATTTCTCGCTTTCTGTCTCTCTGTCTCTGTCTGTGTGTCTTTCTGGTGAGCACATGTGCCTATAGTAAAAACCTCTCCAATAAATAAATAAATTAATTAAATAAAGGAGTTTCCTTTGTTAAGATGTTTCTGCAACAGGAAGAGATATAATGAAACAGCTCTCACCACGTGACCCTGACCTCGGTAATAAGCCTCTCTCCCTCACCTACACTCCCTCCCCTCCCCTTCCCAGAGCTTGCCTCCCCTCCCCGGCAGCCTCCAACCAGTTTTCCTCAGTTTAGCCAAGGACAGTCTATAAGAAGTTCCTTGAGCCACATTTTTTCTTCGTGAACTACATATAGTTAACTTGTTTCGTTTCTCTCATTACTGTCTCTTACCAGTCTGATTCGTAGGCCCAGTCACAGACCCAGGAAGGTAGAGGGGAAGTCTTTTCCTCCCTGCACTCCCTCCCACTACAGCCTTGGGTTTTTTTTTTTCTTTTTTCTTTTTGTTATAGGGTGCATGTGCTTGTTACAGAGAGAGAGAGAGAGAGAGAGAGAGGGACAAATCACCCCCCTAGGCCACGCCACAATCCCTCCTCCTCCATTCTCCTGGGATTTCGGGCACGCACGCACACACCCCTGGCACGAGTTTCGAGCTGCTGGGTCTAGAACTCAAACTGCGGTTTGAGTGTGAGTCAGTGACGTATCCATTATGCCATCTGCTAGTCCCAGAGACCTTTTTTAAAAAATTCTTTCTTGCTTTGTCATGCCTATCTTTCAGCTACAATATCACCTCCTCCAGGAGGCCTTCTGTGACTGCTTCTCACCCTTATGGGACACGCAGCTGTGGCCCAGGGCCACTCACCTGCTGCACGGGCTCGATGGTCAGCTCCATGTAGCGGCTGATTGCTGCCGTCGTCCTCAGCGACTTGCAGTGTGACAACGTGGTCAGAGGTACCCAGTCTGGATTCTTGCAAGAGGAGATGGGGAAACAGAAAGAGGAATTCTTAAAGTCTGAAGGCATCTTCCAAAAACAGTCCTATTTTATCCAAATGAACCCGCATGGTGTTGTGTGTTTTGTTGTGTTTTCGCATGTCTCACTTTCTGCTTGCTGTGAAGCTTAGCTCTCTGATTTAATCGGTGAGATACGGGCATTGGAAGTTTTAAAGCTCCCTGATAGTGGACTCACACACGGCTGAATGCGGTTCGAGTCCCAGACCTGATGGCTTGAAACTCGTGTCGGGCACATGTGCATGTACGCACAAGACCCTGGGAGGAGAATGGAGAAGAGACTGCGGCGTGACCATCCTCCCTAGGGAGCGATTTCTCACTTTCCCTCTCACTGTCTCTGTCTCTCTCCGGCAGGCACGTGTGCCCTAAGGCAAGAACCTCTTCAAGAAAATAAGGAAAAAGCACCCAGATCATCTGAACCTGTGGCACACCATGGGGGACACTACAGTAGACGTGAAATGCTGTCAGAGCAGGCGTCCTCAGACCTCAGAGTGCAGCAGAGTACCCTGTGGGTTTGTTAGAACGCAGACTGCCTGGCCCCCTTCAGTTTCAGATCCGGAGGTCTGGGTGGAGCCTAGACCTTGCATTTCCAACAAGTTCCTTGAGGAGGCTGGTCTAGGACCAGCTTGGGAACCACTGCTGACAAGGTTGCTGAAGAGATTCCAGGAGCTTCTACTCTCCTCAGGACCCTGAGACACCCAGAGCTCTCTAACTACTGCAGCTCTCTGCAGAGATATAATCTCACAGCAGCTGCAATAGAATGAACGCAACTTCCCACGAGGGCCTTCACGGGAACCTGGGTCTCTGTCCAAGCCTGTCTAAGCTGCTTTCGCCTTTGTCCTGCCACCACTATCCTCCGCGTTGAACCCT